GCCCCGGGCGATGATGGGCAATGAAGAGGAGATTGCGCGGATTGCCCGAAGGCTGGACAAGATGGTGACCAAGAAGAGCGCGGTGAGGGGCGTGGGCCGCCAGGACCCCGGGACCCCCGCCCCGCGGAGTCCCCGCCGAGCCCCGGTCCCATCCGGGAGACCCCTGGAGGGCAGGATGAGCCCCGCCCCGGCAGAAACTCCAGGGACATAGAGAGACCCCTGCCCAAGACCGAGACCCCCGGCCCTTTACTCACCTCCGCACCCCGCAGGAGGCTGTCGTCAGAGCGGCCCTAGGCTCCTAACCATCGTTCTGGCCTGAGACCACCCCCCACTCCCGCCAGGCCGGGTTCCGCCCCCTTCCAGGTTCCCCACCCACCTCAAACCCTCCTTGGCCGGGATTCACCGAGACCCTCTCCCCTCTTGGTAGGTGCTGCGGTTCCCCTGCCTCCTTCCCAGCCACACTTGAGGCCCAATGCCCACCTTTGCCCATTGCCCCTCCCTGGTCCCCCATCATTCTTAGGTTGCAGCTGGCGTCTCTTTCCTCCCCTAATTTCTATCGGACCATACCCCTTCACCAGACTCTGCCGCTCTTGGTGGGTGGGTGGCTGTGCAAGCCCCAGGGGAGCCCAGGTTGCTAGGCAGCCATGGTGTGCTCTGGTAGGCTGTGCTCCAGCCTTCCTGAGGGTCCCAAGGGCTGGGGTTCTGGGTTCAGAGCCCTCCTTCCCTTCTCCCCTCGGCCTAGCTTCATGACCTTGGCAACTGCTGGAAGCTTCTGGAGGAGCCCTTGGTAGGACCTACCCTGTGGGGAGGCCATGCTGGGCCTTCCAGCTGGGGGTGGTAGGACACAGGCTCAACAAAGGGACAAGTGTCAGCAAATCTTCCAGAGGCCTGTTCTCCCTCCAGGATGCGAAGCTCCTTCCTCAAGAGGAGGCCGTTGAAGGGCAGAGCCCCCATCTTAGGCTACACTGTGCTGTGGGGGTGTGGGGTGGCCTTTCAGGGTTCTGGTGACTGACTCAGGTGCTACCTCTCAGCCGCTCACTCATTCATCCCTCACTCCCCCACTGGGCAGGCACTGGGGCCCTGTACACCCTGGGAGGCATCTCTTGGGGCCTCCCCTGGGGGCAGGAAGGGGCCCTGAGGGCTCTGGTAAGTGTTGGGCTGCCAACTATGAGGGGTCACTAGCTGCTGCTCAGGAGAAAGATGGGGCAGCCTTCCCTGGTACAGAGTCACCGCTTCGGAGCCCTGTGTAGGGTGCGTGCTTGTGAGTTGGAATGAACCCATAGCAATGAATTGGGTGGTTGGCTTTGGTGGGGGGTGGGGGTGGGGGACACTGTAGGGGAGGCCTGGAGGGGCTCAGCAGAGCTGGGGAGAGGGCGGTTATCAGGTGAAGACACCAGAGGAATAGAAACTCTGAGGGGTTGGGGACAGGGAAGGGACACCACCCACTCGACCAGGCAGAACCCTTTGTTCCCTCTGAGAGGGCCCTATGGCCAGTCCAGGGGTGGAGCCTGCTGAAGGGGGCCAGGGGGCTACTGCTGGAGCTGCCCCAGTGGGGTGCACCGGTTAGTGGTTATAGCACTGTGTTCATGGAGGGGCTGCTGAGCCCAGGTGTGGCTCCCAGAGGCAGGGCTGGCTGATGAGGGACCATGTGGTGTGCAGTTTTGTGGGGTCCCTGGAGGCCTGGCAGCCAGTCAGAAGCCTGACATTTGCCCCATGCCTTTCAGGCCACTGTGTCTGGGGTTGGTGGGAAGGGCTGTGGCTGTCTTGCATTCTGGAACTGGGGACAGATGCAGGGAATGCCTTAGGACCTGTGTCCGGGGGTGATGCTGCCCGGGGTCCCAGGTTGGCCGGTGACATCCAGTGGAGCTGGGTGGGCATGGCTGACTGTCCACGGGGGTTGTTAAGTGAGGCCCCACCCCCAGGAAGGAGCCATGGACTTGCTGCGGGAACTGAAGGTCATGCCTGTCACACTGCATCTGCTGCAGGTGAGGAGCCAGGTTGGGGGTGGTGGGGAGGGCACGGTCCCCGCTCTGACATCCCCACTCTGCCTCCCCTAGTCCACACGAATCGGGATGTCCGTCAACGCCCTCCGAAAGCAGAGCTCGGATGAGGAGGTCATTGCACTTTCCAAGTCTCTCATCAAGTCCTGGAAGAAGCTCCTGGGTGCGGGATCCCGGCCTCAGGCAGGGGTGACCCAATCCTGGGGGGCAGGGGCACCTCAGGGCAGTGGGGAGATGGTCAGTTCCTGGTGGGTTGGGGTGGTCAAGTTCTGGGAAGGTCGGGGGTTGGAGGCAGTCAGGTTCTGGGGGGTACAGAGGGTGGTTGGTCAGGCCCTGGGGTTGGGGGACAGGGAAGAGGACAAATCCCTTGGGTTTGGAGGCTACTTGGAGGACAAGGGGGATGGCCTCCTGGAGCAGGGACAGGACAGGCACGGCAGCTGGGCACCAAGCTGCAGGCTGGCAGGACGGGCTCCATTCTGGGGATGTGGGACCCTGGATTGTAGGGAGCTCAGTCTCACCTGAGACCCCTCTGTCGCTGAGCTCTGGGGCTACATGGGCACTAGTTGTGTATGGGAGGGGTCCCCATGCAGGCCCTGGGCCACCGCTGGGCTTCACTCACACCTCTGATGGCTCCCACAAAGGGCCTGAACACAGTTGAGTTCTCACACCTTTGGGCCCCAGTGGGTGGCTTGTTGGCCCAGAGAGGCAATGTGGGAGCCCTGGTGCCAAGTGAGGGGGGTGGTGCAGGGTGGAGGGGTCTGGGAGAGTGCTATTAGTTGGAGGCCCAAAGCTCATAGTTTAGCAGTTCTCAACCTGTAGGTCGTGACCCCTTCACAGGGGTCGCCCGATTCATCACAGTAGCAAAATTACAGGTAATGAAGTAGCAACGAAAATAATTTTATGGTTGGGGTCACCACCTGAGGAACGGTATGAAAGGATCACAGCATTAGGAAAAAATGCTAAGAGAACCACTGTCTTAGTTGCTCCTGCAGCCTCTCCACCCTGGTGACTTCTGGGGCTGCATTGTGGCTGGGCCTGCCCTGAGGAGGTGGCCATCTGCTGTCCCAGGCCGCTTTGTGAGGCCACTCCCCACTGTTTTTGGGTGACTGCAGACACTTCAGACTCGAAAGCCGGGGAGCGGAGGAACACGTCCCTGGCCTCACCGCCCGCAAAGGCCACCTCCGAGGCAAAGGCCCCCAGGTGCTCCTGGGGCAAGGGCTCAGTTTCCCGCTCAAAATCCTCTCCCGCAGCTGTGGGTGGCCCTGCTCCCTTCAGACCCTCTCATTGCGGGGAGTCCTGCCCATGACTCTAGGCTCAGAGTCAGTGAGCCGCCTCCCTGCCCAGCATGGTCGGGGCTGGGGGCTCAAGGGGAAGGGGCCAGGAGGAGGAGGTGCAGCAGCCCCAATCAGTGCACATTTCCCTGCCCCAGGAGTGAGTCCTCCTGTGGGGAGCATCCCTGGCTCCCTGTGGGGGCAGGAACTGGGCAACCCGCCTGAGTGGGGCCTGGCCTATGAGGAGTGCTCCAACAGGTGTTAGACCTGGTAGGGGCTACTGGGGACCTGGAGCCTGCTTCTGCCCTGAGACTATGGGGTCTTTGCCCCTCACCTGGCATATTGTGGTGGTGGCTGCTGTCAGTGGGGGTGATGGTGGTTGGGGGTGGCTCCCAGGGATGGCCGTGGTGCCCTGGGTCTCCCTGAGGGTGTGGGGGCTGCAGTCTGTACTCTTGCTGGTGGAGGCCGGGGTCTGAGCCCCATGGCCTGCCCCTCTCCAGCTGCAAGAGGCCAGAGCCGCCCCGGACACTGCCAACGCCCCGGATGACCACATTCCCCCCGACGCCCATCAGCTGCGATGCTGTACGCAACAAGTGCCGGCAGATGCTGGCCGAGGCCCTGCAGACTGATCGTGAGCCCCAGGCCCGACCTGAGAGGGTCCTTGAGGGACAGCCCCTGCCCGGCCACTGTTGCTCATGTGGAGCGGGCAGGGTCTTTGGCCTGGGGTGGTGGGTGGTGGAGAGGCCCTCAAGGGCTAGTGGGGGCTGCTTTTTACAGAGGACCACGTGGCCATCGGTGCCGACTGCCAGCACCTATCAGCCCAAATTGAGGAGTATATCCTTCCTAGGGTGGGGAGGGGTGGAGGAGGGGGCCCCACTGCAGATCCCTCTGTGCCTGTTTGGGAGTGGCCGGCTCTTTCCTGGGTGGGTCTGGACTTCAGTGGGGAGTGGTCAGGGGGCAGGGCACCTCTGCCTGCTGCCAGGCCTGGGTGGGTGACTGCCCCGTGGGACCCATCCCAGCGCAGCTCCTCAGGGTGCAGCATGCCCAGGAACCCTTAACAACTGCACTCATCTTCCGGGACGTGGGCAGCACAGACATCAAGTACAAGAACCGCGTGCGCAGCCGCATCTCCAACCTGAAGGACGCTAAGAACCCCGGACTGCGGCGGAGCGTGCTGCGAGGCACCATCGAGCCCCAGCGCATTGCAGAGATGACCTCTGAGGTGGGCCGGGCTGGTGGGGTGGTGGGTGGGCTGCTGCCACAACTGCCGCTGACTGCTGGCCCGCCCCCGCCCCCACCCCCTGCCCCAGGAGATGGCCAGCGATGAACTGAAGGAGATCCGGAAGGCTATGACCAGAGAGGCCATCCGTGAGCACCAGATGGCTCGCATGGGGGGCACCCACACTGACCTCTTCACCTGCAACAGGTGCAGAAGGAAGAACTGCACCTACACTCAGGTAGGCAACTCCTGCACACACACTCCCCTACCTTGTGCAGTGTTGGTGGGCTCATCAGCCTGCCTTTGAGCCGCCTGGCTCTGCTGACTCCGCCCACATCTGTATAAGCACCAGGCACCACTCCTCTCTGACAGTGGTCTCTCTGCAGCCCAGGGAGCCCTCTCACCCCAGGTACACTCCTCCCCCAGGTGCAAACCCGCAGCTCTGATGAGCCTATGACCACCTTCGTTGTTTGCAATGAGTGTGGAAACCGCTGGAAGGTGGGTTGAGCCCGGGCTTTGGGTGGGCACACTGTGGGGTGTCCAGGCCTGGGGGGCTGCACCTTCCCCCGCATCAGGCAGGGTCATGAGCATGGGCTGGCCCTCCTACAGTTCTGCTGAGCCCAAGTGCGGATCTGCAGCCCTCCCGCCCATCCACTCGGCTTCTCGGGAGACCCAGTGCTGCCCCCTTCCGGCCCCAAGCCGCCTGCCTGCCCGCCTGCCCTTACCCTGCCCGAGAACACGTCCCCTCTGGCTCCGATTATTAAATGTTTCTTTTTGCCCACTTGATGCTCTTGGCCCCCTCTGAGTGGGTTTTCTGCCTCTCCTCTAGGAGGCCTCTGGTCCCCAGTGCTCCAGGTGTGTTTGGGGGGAGGGGGAGTGTCTGGAGCCTGTGGGGGCAGGCTGTTGTGTCCCTGGGAACGCCGAGGGGGAGGGGCACCTGAGGGTTAGGCTTCAAAATAGCTTCACTAACAAGGCATCTTATTGCTGTGGGTGGAGATAAATATGAAGACTTGTTTTTTTTGATAAAACACAGCCAAGATGTCCCAGCTTTCAAGCCCTTGAGCAGAATGGACATAGCTCCTGTGGCGGTGAGCCTGCTCCTGGGCTCCCGAGCCTAGTCCTGGTGCAGGCAGCTGGGAGGGGGGGGGGGGGGGGGGGGGGGGGGGGGCGCCCAATTGGTAGAAAAGTGCGGTTCTCTGCAAAGGCAATTCTGGGGCCAAGGATGCCTCCTGGGAGGGCCCCTTCTCCCCGTTCAGGAGCCGGCAGCAAGAGCCCCTACACTTGCAGCTCCAGACCTGGCAGGGCAGGGCCTGGAGGCAGAGCAGAGCCGCCTGGCAGAGAAGCCCAGGGGAACCCGCTCGAGGGTCCTGGTGCAGGAGGCAGGCTCAGGCCTCCGAGGAGGGCGGTGTGGGCCCCTGGAGCAGCAGGGCACGGTAGGCTGGGGAGCCGAGAAAGCGAGGGTAGGAGTCCCGGTGCATGAGCGTGTAGATCTGCAGCTGCGCCTCGTCAAAGGTGTGTGCAGATGGCTCCTGCATCCTCTTGTTGATGCCCTCGCGCACGCGGGAGTCCAGGCTCACCTGCAGGGACATGGCCAGTCAGGGGAGCAGGTGGCACCCTCCCCCATCCGCCTGGTCTGGCAGCCCTGCTGCGTGCACACCTCCTTGGGGGACAGGATGGAGACGTAGTCCTCATAGATGAGGCGCGCCTTCTCATCCACTACGTGCTGGTTAGCCTCAGCCTTCAGCTCCTCACAGGCCAGCCAGAAGAGCATGTTCTCCTCGCTGTACTCCGTGCGCAGGAACTCGCGGAAGATATTGCGCCCCGCAGGGCTGTGCATCAGCTTGTCGAAGGACTGTGCCCAGCTGCGCACCTCCTCCAGGCTTGGCGGGGCGCTGTGGCGGGTGGGTGAGCAGGCAACCGTCAGGAGGGTGGCCCGGACTCACAGGTGCGCAGGCTGCCTGCACCCACCCTATGCCCACAGAGGCAGGGGAGGACTCACCAGGCTTCGCAGCTGGGGAGGGGCTGCAACTTGGTCTCCCTAGAGGCCCGCCAAGCTCTCCGCCTCCCTTCATTCCTAACGGCAGAGAAAGGCGGCCACTGCCTGGGCTCATGGGATGCCACGTGCACGTGCACACGTGGCCCTCAGCCCAGGGCTGGCGTGGACACAGCTCAGGGTTAGGTGCATATGTAGCTTTAGCACAGGGGCAGCTCCTGGGAAGGAGGGCCACTCTTGTGCCGTCCCCCATGGGCTTTGGCTAGTGTTGTCCAGCTGGGGCTCTGCACACACACCTCCTGGGGTATCGAGGACCTGACCAGGCCCAATCTGCAGGCCTGATTGCAAGGTGACCCAAGGATACCTCCTTTCTCCCTGTCCTGTGCCACTCAATGACCCTTGTCCTAGACCACCACCTCAGCAACATCCTGCCTCCAGAGATGCTGCCCCCCCACCAAGTCCCCTCCCAGCAGAGGACCCCTTGCTGCACCATGCCCCCCACCTGCACTCAGCCTGGATTCTGGGCAGGTGTCCCAGGGTCCCTATGGCCCACCCCATGCCCCAGCTGAACCCACACCACGCCAGGCCTTTTGCCCCACTGTACGAGCTAGTTTCCATCATCCTGGGCTCCACTCACCCCCTCCTCGGCCCTCACCTGACTTGCAGAGCAGTCTGCCTTGTGCTAGCCGGTGCCCAAGCCCCAGGCACACATACACACAGGTGCAGCCCCGACATGAGCCTCGAGCCAGGCCTGGTCTTCTGCAGCCCATACAGCACCTCAAAAGCCTCCAGAGGGTCACCCTCCATGCACTCCCACCCTGCTCACCTCCACCCCTGCCCCCACCCCTTACCTCCCTGTGCTCACAGGCCCCCAAACCTAAGCTCCCTGTGCCTCTGGTCTCTCGCACCTCAGGGCCCTGATACCCCAGCCCCTCAGGTCCCCTGACCCCCAACCTCAGGCTCCCTGTACTCAAGAGCCCCCCCCCCCCACTTCAGGCTCTCCACCCTAGGCCCACAGGCCCCAGACCCTACCACAGGCCCCCTGTACCCCAGCACCCCGAGCCACACATACCAGGAGCAGCTGCAGCAGCAGCACCAGCACAAGCAGCAGGGGTTACGGGGGTCCGCTGGGGAGGCCACATCAAGACTGGACATGGAGGGAGGCTGGTCTGCCTCCTCTGGTCCTGTGTGCTGTGGGGGATGGTGGCTCAGCCCTAGCCCCCAAGCCACCTGTCCCAGGGGCCACGCTCCCTGGAGCGAGAACCTCCTGCCTCCCCAGTGCTCAGGGATCCCCATCTCCTGTCCCCCTCCCTAGCTCAGGCCCTTCATCTTCCCCAGGGGAAGGGTCGAACCTGTGTCTCAGCCTCATGCGGGGTGGGCATGGGTGGACCTCCCAGGAAGGTCCCCCAGGCTCCGTGCTGCTCCGGAATCCTCACCTTGGCCACGGCTCTAGAGGGAGAGGGGTCTGACTGAGACCCTGAGACCCTGGACTTTGCCAGCTCTGGAGTCTTGCTTGAACCTCCCTCTTCCTCCCACTGCATCTACCCCCCATTTCCAGCCCCAGCTCATCCTAGTTGGAGCCCTGGACGCCCCCACGGGAGGTTCCGGGACGCCCTCGTTGGCTCAGCCCCGGGAAGCCGGAAGCCAGGGTTCCTCTTTCTTGGTTTCCAACTCTCTGCCCTGCCCATAGCGGCGGGGACCTCCCGAGAGTCATGAGATGCTGGTCAGACCTTCAGAGCCCCTGGTTCCCTTTGTGCTGGGTTTCTGTCCAACCTGTGGGGGCCAGGGAGGGTGGCTCTCCACAGACAGTTTGGAATTTGCCTGTGAGCCTCAGAGGACTCTGACAGTTGACCTGGGACTCCAGCAGGGCAGCAGACTGGGTCTGCAGCATGGAAGATTTTGAGTGCGACTCTACACAGGACTTCCTCAGGGTGCTGGCAGTGGTGAAGTGCTGGCATCTTGGAGGAACCTGTCCTGGCCCAGAGGCCCACTTACCAGCTTCAGCTCTGTCCCTGCCAGTAGGCTCCCACCCCCACTAGGAGCTAACCCGCTCTACTGTTTTCTAACCCTTCACCCAGCTTCTCCCAGGCACCCCCACTTGCCTGCCTGCCAGTTGCCTCCGACAGCGGAAACCGCTGTGGCCAAGTGCCCCACCGCAGGGTGTGCCAAGTTGGGGGGGCCAGGCCAGGGAAGGGGTCCTGACCCAGGCCATCCTGCCTTGAGTTTACATTGCACCTTGGGCAGGGCTGCCTATGTTGACAGCCACTTCAGTGTGGGGGTGGCTGGTGGAGACAGGGGTCAGGCTGGAGAGCCCTCGGACTTCTGTACTCTGCGGTGGGGGGTGGGGGGGTTGACATGGCCCCAGCCTGCATCTAGTCCTCCACCGCTCTGGCCTGTTCAACTCCACTGCTCACGGTTTCTGTGGTTCCCCTCGCCTCAGGCCTCCAGGGCAGGGGTTGTGGTGAGGGCCTTGGGTGGCTGTGGGAGCCCAGAGTGGCAGCACTCAGGTCCCCTGGACCTGGGCATGTGAAGGCCAGCTGTGATGGGCAAGGAGCATGGGTTCTCTGGTATCTCAGCCTTCACTGTCCACTCCACTTCACAGACCGTGTGACAAGCCCTCCCACTGGGGCCTGCTAGCCCCCCTCCCCACCAGTGGGGAAACAGCACCCTTTCCCAGGGGCCAGGGTTCTAGGGAGAGGAAGGGGTGTGGTCTGAGAGCTGTGCCCCCAGACAGCAATGACTTCCTCTTGCACGCCACCCCGCTATGAACGGGACAGACCCAGCACCCCCTCCCTGGCTCCAGCCTGCTTTGAACTGGAGGAGGTAGACCTGGCTCGGGTGCAGGGGTGTAGGTCCCTTTGTCCCAGGCCCTTGTCCTGGTCACTACACCTGGCTCCTTGTGCCTCCTCAGGTCCTGAGGCCACTCCATGCCCTGGGGCATCTGTGGATGGGGGGGGCGGGGGGACTGCTTCCTCTGTCTCCTGAACGGGTATGGGGTCTGAACCAGTGTTCCATGCACCTCAGGCTGGTTTTCTGGGGGCTCCTCCCCTTGTCCAGCCCCAAGGCTTTGTCCCCAAGGCTGCAATGGAGAGTGTGGACAGGCGGCCAGGCCGGCCCCTGGGGACAGACTTTCCCCTGGGAGAGTCTGCAGCTCCGCACCACACAAGGAAAAGGAACGTCCCGGCTGCCCAGTCCAAAAAAAGACTAAGAAAATGTGACAATCCCAGAAAGAAATGCCATAACCTTTGGGTAGGGGGTGCTGCTGACTGAGGAGCCTCTCCCTCTTATCCCACTCCATGTCTTCTCCTGCCACCCTCTCCTGCTAGCCTGCGGGGAACCCCAGCCTGGCCCCCTTCAAGCCCTGGTGACCCACAAGTCAGCCTGGCCCTGCAAGGGGGGGGGCACTCCTCCTCCCTCTGATCCTGGCTTCTGATGGGAGCGCCCCCGCCTCCGCCCCCCACTCAAGGGAGAGCGTCCCACTCACCAGTGACCAAGGTGGGGTGGGGGCGGGAGGGGCCAGGTTCGCTCTGGCCCCACCCTGGCCTCTGAAGGGGCGTGCACTGCTGCGGGAACTCCGGTCAGACTGCTGGAGGTTCTCCTGGGCGTCTGGGGGGCCGGCGCAGGGTCCTGATCTCCTGGCCAGGGGCGCAGCGCCTCCTCACCGCCTCCCAGGGCTGAGCAGCAGCCAGACCAACTGGGGTGGGGGCGGAGGGCCCCTCCCCACCCGCCCAGGAGTGGGGCGGGCGGCGCGGAAACCTGGGTCCTTCCGGCCCCCACCTTTGAGCAATCGCTCCCCGGACTTAAAGCTGCAGAAAAAGGGGAACCGGTGCTGCGCCCCTCCCCCCCACGGGGGTCTGGTCCCGCCGCGGCCCTGGTTCCACGTGGGCTTGGGCGGAAAGTCCGGGGGCAGCCCCGTGGCGCAGGCTCCCCGACTCTCCGTCCCCTCCCCCCCACTCCATCCCGGGTACGCGCGCACGCGCGCACACTCACCGGCCACTCTCCCGGGGGCGCTGCGCCGCCGCCGCCGCCGTCCCGCCGCGAGGTCCCGCCGGAGCTCGAGGAGGGGGCGCGGGGCGCATGCGCAGATCCTCAGCCGCACTTCCCCAAAGCGCCGAGCCTGGGACTTCCTCGCGCGGGAGGCGCCCGCCCCGCCCGCCCGCCGGCCAGCCGGGCGCCCCCGCAGTCCCCTCTGCGCCCAGCCACGCGACGCGAAAAGTGGGCGCTGGCGTTGGCGGGGTGTGCGCGGTGTCTCCTCCCGCCCCCCACCCCCCTTCTCTACTGGCCTCATCGTACAGGGTATCCACGATACTCCTGGCCAGTTTGGAGACACCATGAGAGCCCCGCCAGGCCCGGTGCCCCAGGTGCCGCTTGTCCAGCTCTGGAAAGGACACAGTCCCTGAAAAGGCTGCCTTGGGCCACATCGCACCTTCCTCCCCTCGAGGATGTGGAGTCTACAGAAGTAAACTGTGTAGTGCTAGCACCTGCAGGCACTTCTGCACTCACTGGCCCGACCTGAAGAGCCCGCATGGTGCCCTCTGCCACCAGTGTCCTGTCCCTCTCAGTGAAGCTCCTTATCCCAGAATACTCTGGGCCAGGGTCAGGGTGGAGACAGCTTCTAGTACAGTGACCCAGCCTGCTGCCCTTCTGCTGCCTCCCTCGAAGGGCCTCTGCTGGGCAGGACTCTGCCCAAGTGCAGGCCACACGTCCAGACCCCAGTGGGGGGAGGCTCTTCCAAGTCAGGCACCAGGGAACTGAGGAGAGTAGAGGAGCACCTTCAATGGGCAGATGTCAGGGTGTGGGAGAAACAGGCAAAGGGGGGAGGGGAGGACAGGAGGAGGTGCTGGCTATCCTCAGAGCATCAGTGAGACCAGGCAGGGAGCAGGGTGGGAAAGGTGCCCACAACTGGCCCTCACTGGCTTGGGCAGTGTCTGTCTGGGCACCACAGGGCAGGGCCAGCAGTTGACCAGAGGTGGCTGCTGCTTGCTTAGCACAGGGGGCAGTGCAGAGAGGGAGGGGCTATCACCCTATCTTTACAGGTGACAGTCACAATCTGGCTGTGTTATAACCCCAGGGAAGTGCAGGGAGTCCTTCCCCCTCTGGCCACTGGGGCCAGCTGGTCTCCCTCAGGCCAGGAGCTGGACAGACTCTCACAGATGCCCTAGGCCCTGCTAACCCCTGGCAGCTCTCCTCTCCCCTTTACAGGTGACCCTTCCCCTGGAGAAACGGAGGCAGCAACCTGTCAAAGGTGGCTGGTGATGCTGGGGCTGGCTTTTGGACTGCCCCCCAACTCCTCACATCAGCCCTCTCTCAGCACTGGCACCTCAGATGCTGACGCAGCCCCCTGTCTGAGCATTCTCCGTGAGCACCTATGCCTGCTGCCTGGCTGGGGCTTGTCCCCTGGCCACCTGGCAGGGAGCAGACCTGAGTCAGCCTGATGCAGAGTTGCCTTCTCCTTGAGGAGATCTTGATTGT